TAGGTGACATTGCTCCTCCTTTACTACGACTGCTCAGTGGAGAGGTGAATGTCACAAAGCTTTAAAGTGCTATTGTACTGAGGTATCGGAACACTTACAAGTATAAGTACACACACACAGTACTGGATACATAATACTGGTTTCAGTATTGATGTGTGATCTAATTCAGTTTAAATGGGCCTCCAATTCTCTCGAAGCACTGATGTGTATGAAGGATTGTGTTTGCAGCTGTATTTGTTCTGGTAAATCGAATTATATTGGATTGGTAAGACCATAGAAGTTTCCCATGTGAAATGCACTGCCATTCCAAACTGGATTATTTCAGAATCCTTTTTTTCTAATCTCTCATAAATCCTACAGCCTCTCCTCTTGACACAACAATTCTCTTCTTTACTCTCCTTTAAATCATAGACTGTAGGATTTATAGAAACCACAAGACATTTTCTAAGAATACTGTCTGCATCGTTGTTTCTCTGTGTGAACAAGTCATAACACGGCAAATGTTATCTCTGTGCAATGGAGCCTTGCAGGGGGTGATGAAGCTGTCTTGTCAAAGGGGCCTTGTTGGCAATTTCACACAATGCATTTATGAATTTCATGCTTTAAAGAAAAGGTTATAGATTTCATTTCATGCAGCTTGCGTATGAATTAAAGGGGTTTTGATTTCACCAGCAATGCTCAACAGTAGATTGTCAAAGAGACTGTGTGGGTTTGCCTCTTGTCTACCTACCGACATTCCCTTGTGTCACATTTTTCAACAGTTTGCCATCTGTGATTGTATCTGCATTAACTTTTGATTCAGTGGTTCTGTGCTGCCAGCCTCTGACCATTCTCGAGAACTAGTCTGTCAGATATTGCTTGCCTCAGAACTCTAAGTGGACTGCTTTTGACCGAGTTGTTCGACAAAAACCTTCAGAGTTGTATTAGTTGGTCAGTGAGTTTGCTTACAAAGTATGGAATGTCACGCTCAAAACTAAAACACTCTTTTTAGATTTGCACATTGGTTATTTAAAGAATGCTCATTACTAAAATGGACACGGAATTTTGTAAATTTGGGCAAATCAGATTAATAAAGATGAGATTGAAGTGACAGATGGCCATCTTGTTTAACTCATGTTTTATTCTTTGGATCAATGTTTCGTTCACATGTCCAGCAGCATTACGTTTTGATATTTCAGTACAATCAAACTATTTTTATAGAACTTTAAAACCCAACAGTGAACTGAAGGTTCTGTACAGAGTGGACATTAAAACATGGCTCATATGCAAGACAAAAATACAACTAAAACAAGTGTATAAAACCAAGAAAACATAAAAAGACATCATACAAACCATAGAACAATAAAAATAAAACTCACTCATTACAAAGTGTTAAAAGCTAAGTGGATTTTAGGCAGAGTTTTAAAAGCAGACAAAGAGGTCTGTCTGAGATGATGGAGAGCAGCTTGTTGCACAATTGCAATAATAATTCTGTATTAATTCTGTTTCAAGAACACCTTAGAGGTGAAGGCCATGGACAACTCGTGTTCAGTTTTATGGCCCACATGTGACCTGGCTTACTATGACTGTGTGGAAACTAAAGCAGATTATTATAGCAGTCTGGCCCGGCAATCTGTCTAAAGGCATCCACTTCACTTTGGGATACGAGTCACTTAGCAAAGAGATTTATTGAGCCTGATCAAGTCCAACTTACTGGCAAGCACAGCAGTATCTTGTTATTAAGTACTGTTTTCGCAGGACAAAGTTTGACCATTTCTGTCAAGTCATTGCTGCAGAATGTGCTTAATTCATTCTGAATTATTAGGTTAGGTTGTAAGTTGGTTAAAATGCTCATGCTGCAGTAAAATCACTTGCATTCAGTGACTGAGAATATCTGTAAGAGCTATTAGTTTTATTTTTTATTGTCATGCACCTATCATTATCAATCTTTTTGAACTAAAGTGGCTCATACTTAATTTCAGTGGTTGTGTAATCATTAATAATTACACTAAATTATTTGATAAAATAGCCATTTGCTTCACTGACACTGAATTAATCAGTGACATTTATTCTTATCTAAGAACATCTCCATTCTTTCCTTTTTATCTTGTAGTTGCTGTTTGAAGCTTTAGGTGTAATTGTACCACAGACGGCCATGCATCCATTTGTCTCTTTCTGCATTATTGAAGGTTGTTGATGTAATTAAATGAACAAAAAAAAAATCTAACTAAATAAATCACAGATTAATCTTCTGTGGCTCACATTGGATATATTGTTTTCATGCTTTTGCTGGTGAGCGGATTAAACATGCATTTGTAAAAAAAATAATAATGGGTAGATGAACTTTTGTTGTAACTGACATGAAATAACAAATGCAACCCCTTTTTGTGCCTTTATTATAAGTTCAATGTTTGGTCCTTTACTACCGGTATGTACTTTTTAGGCTTTGACTTGCACAAAGTTTGACTTTAAATGTGCAAGTGTAGAAATAATTTAAGCCTATGTGATTGATTGCTGGGCAGCACGGTGGCGCAACTGGTAGAGCTGCTGCCTCTCAGCGAGCAGGTCCCTGGTTCAAACCCCGGTCCAGGGGCCTTTCTGGGTGGAGTTTGCATGTTCTCTCCGTGCATGCGTGGGTTTTCTCCGGGTACTCCGGTTTCCTCCCACATACCAAAAACATGCATGTTAGGCTGATTGGTAACTCTAAATTGTCCCTAGGTGTGAGTGAGAGAGTGAATGGTTGTTTGTCTCGTTTGTCTCTATGTGGCCCTGTGATGGACTTGCGACCCGTCCAGGGTGTACCCCGCCCCTCGCACAGTGATTGCTGGACATGGGCACCAGCGACCCCCGTGACCCAAAATGGAATAAGCGGGTAAAGATAATGGATGGATGGATGATTGATTGCTTGTTTTTCATTGGTGATCAACTTACCATCCATCCATTCATTCATTCATTCATTCATTATCTTTACCTGCATCTTCCTTTTTGGGTCACGGGGGTCAATGGTGCCCATGTCCAGTGATCAACTTACCCTCTTCTCTAAATACTGTAAACTAAAATTCAATAGTATTTGCTCTCATTAACCACATATTATTGTGACTCGTATGACAAACCAATTTTTTTTAGTGATATTAGTTTTGTGCTATTGTGTTTAAACATCCATCCATCCATTATCTTTACCCGCTTCTTCCATTTTGGGTCACGGGGGTCGCCGGTGCCCATGTCCAGCAATCGTGTGTTTAAACAATAGTGGAAAATATTCATGAAGCAGGTGAAGCTTGTATTGACCTACTGGAGTTTTGCCTCATCAAATAAATTTGGATTTTTAAGAAACACATATACCTGCCTGAACCTTTGGTTCCTGTTTGCTAAGTGCTGTCTGTTTCTGTTTGGTTTGAAAATGCTGACAACACAAATGTAGCCTATTTAAATGGTAAATGGACTGTACTTATATAGTGCCTTTCTATCTTATCGAAATACTCAAAGCACTTTACACTACAACCTGTGTCTTCATTTACCCATTCATACAGCACTCTACTAGATCTCTACAAAGCTAATTGAACAAATCATTCTAAAGAGACGAATCAGTGCTTTATCACATTCATACACCGATGGGACACACATCAGAGGCTATGAGGAGTTCAGTGTCTTGCCCAGAGACACTTCGGCATGTGACTGCTGGTGGATTCGAAACCCCAACTCTTACATTGGAGGACTGCTCTAACCACTCAGCCACAGCTACTAACTATAATTTTAAAGATAATTTATGTCTATAAGTTACTAAAACAAAAACTGTGGTAATCACAAATAGATTATGTCACTGCAAAGCATCTGACATAAGAACTGACAACACTATTGTACGGTCAATCGTTTCCTGCCATTGATTGTGTAGGCTATTGTGGCAGATCATTGTTAACGTCTGTCTGAATGGATGGTCAAGTCACGTTGAATGTTGCATAAATCTAATAAGAATCATGAGCCTGTGTTACCAGCTCCAATGAACAAAGCAGTGCTTATTTTTATAATAAAACATGGAAAAAAGTTATATTGTAAATGAAAAATAATGCTTTTTTATTGTGATATTTTGCTTGAAATGAAACTGACATTACAAAATAATGGTGTAGGATAGTTTTTTGTTTCCCCCGGTGTTCTTACCTCACCCAATGTATCTCTTCCCCCACACTGGTTGTCAGCCAGAGTTAGCATCACATTTGCAGATCAGTAGCACAGTAATCCTATTGTTTCCTCTCGCTCTGGACTGAGTGCATATTGGCTGTAAGAGAGCCTCATCGCTCCCTGCATCAATGCTGTTTTCTAAGCCGGCCCAAATCTTTCACTCACTGCAGCTTTTTCTGCTGCCGCCTGCTACAGCAGCATCCTGCTTTCCAGGCCAACGAGTGCACAGAACTCCAAACGTCATGCCTCCTGCTGCACAAAAAGAGCCTGACCTTTGATTTTAGTCATTCAAACGTTACCACTCTTAAAGCTAATTAACCAGTACTAATTTAGGATCTGCCTCTTTGAAGGTTACAGCAAAAAAAAAAGTGCCATCATAGTATCATCTTGAAATTTTTTGGTATCATTTTTGGTTTTAATGAAGTAGAACAGAACATGTCAGATTTAAGATTGATGATGGAGAATGATTAGCAATTTATTAGCTACATTAAACCATCTGACTTACTCCCTCTGCTAAGATGCACACGCTTGGTTGTTATTGGTTTGTGGTTTCTGCTGCAGGTAATCTATTCGTTTTGTGCAGCGCTTCTAAAAATAACATTAAAAGCATCGCCAGCCTCATTAAAAATTTATTTGTACTGCATGGGGGGAGCATAAAGATAAAAGTCAAACCAGCAATATGAGGAAACACGTAAGAAATAAGATCATTAAAAACATGAAATCTGAACATGTGAGTTTCTTTTCAGTTTCAGTTAGGAACACGAGTCATTTTGTCTTAAGAGACAAGTCATATTATAAAGCTTTTGTTCTTTTGAACTGACATTTTCTCTCTTTGCTTCTCGCAGTCAATAAGCACAAACCATGGATTGAGACGACATATCATGGGATTGTGACAGAAAATGATGACAAAGTTATTCTGGACCCTCCTCTAATTGCACTGGACAAGGACGCTCCTTTACGCTATGCAGGTAAGAAAGATGTTTATTTGCCTCTGCTGCTCCTACACCAAAAAAGAATGTACTTGAAACATACAGGTACATCTAAAAAAATTAGAATATTGTGAAAAAGTTCTCAATTTTTTTTGTCAATTTCAGAAAGTCAAACTACATAGATTCATTGCACATAGAGTAAAATATTTCAAGTGTATTTCTTGTAATTTTGATGATTTTGACTTGTAAATAATTAAAAACCAAAATTCATTGTCTCAGAAAATGGGAATATTCCACAGCCAGCTGTTGGTACCTTTGTTAGTGTGGGCAGGAGCCAAGTCCTGCTGGAAAATAAAATCTGTATCTCCATAAAGCTCGTCAGCAGAAGGAAGCATGAAGAGCTCTAAAATGTCTTGGTAGATACTGCGTTGACTGTGGACACCAGAAAACCCAGTGGACCAACACCAGCAGAGGACATGGCCCCAAACCATCACTGATTGTGGAAACTTCATGCTGGACTTCAAACTATGTGGATTTTTGGTCTCTCCACTCTTCCTCGAGACTCTGGGACCTTGATTTCTAAATTACATAAAAATTTACTTTCATTTGAAAAGAGGACAATGGACCACTGAGCAACAGTCCAGTTCTTTGTCTCCTCAGTCAGATAAGATGCTTCTGACATCTCTGGTTCAGGAGTGGCTTGACTTGAGGAATGAGACATTTGTAGCTCATATGTTAATCAGCTGATTAGGGTGTGACACTATTCTTCTTTTGGCTTTTCCCACTTCAGAGGTTGCCACAGTGAGTCATCCTTCTCCATCTCACTCTTTTCTCTGCATCCTCTGTGTCAAGGAAATAAACCAGGAAGGACAGATGGTGGTGTATTTTGCCAAGAGAATGTTAATGGCTGTAGTGAACACTTATTTCCAAAGAAGGATGAACAGAGTGACCTATAAGAGTGAAGGTAGGAGTATGCAGGTAGACTACACTTTGTGTAGAAGAGGAAACCTCAGGAGCATTGGGGACTGTAAGGTTGTGGCAGGGGAGAGCATGGCCAGACAGCATCTGATGGTTGTGTGTAGAATGACTGTTGTTGTGGAAAAAAAAAAGAGTAAAATCAGAGAAGACCAAATAGTGGAAACTGAGGCAGGAAGAATGTTGTGAGGATTTCAGAGAGGAGCTGTTGAAGGATCTGGGTGGTAAGAAAGAGCTTTCAAATGACTGGACTACTACAGCAACAGTAATTAGGAGACAGGTAGGAAGGTACTTGGTATGTCATCTGGACAGAGAATGGATGATAAGGAAACCTGGTGGTGGAATAGTGAAGTGCAGGAAGCTATTCAAACAAAGAGGTTAGCCAAGAAGAAATATGACTGAGAGGATTGAAGAGAGGAGACAGGAATATAAGGAGATGGGATGTAGAGCAGAGGGAGGTGGCAAAGGCAAAGCAGAGGGCGTTTGATGAGTTGTATGGGAGTCTGGACACTAAAGAGGGCGAGAAGGACTTGTACCGATTAGTAAGACAATGGGTTTCCAATATTGAACCTCTTCACAATATTCTAATATTCTGAGAAACTGAATTTTAGTTTTTCATTATTTGTAAATCATAATCATCAAAATTACAAGAAATAAAGGCTTGAAATAGTTCACTCTATGTTTAATGAATGTATATATATGAGTTTCACTTTTTGAAATGATTGACCAAAAAAGTGAACTTTTTCATGATATTCTAAATTTTTGAGATGCTCCTGTATTGACAACCAGTTCACTGAAATGATAGTCATCATCATACTGAAACGCTAAACATTAAAACTGTTTAAACAATTATAGACTGGATAGCACAGACACAGGATGTACGTTTCCTTAACATGTCAAGGACATTGATGTATACTTTTAAAGGCACATTATCTGTTTGTTAATAAACAATTTATTTGTCAAATTAAATAGGAAAGACATCTGTACTTAACATGGAAGTAGAGCCTCTAATCTATTCTGAGCATCAGGCTTTGAAAGTGCATCATGGTTAATGTATGAAGGGCTCCCTCCTTGCAGCGTGTTTGAATATGTATAACGTCTAATCCTTCCCATCATAAAAGGGGTATATGAGATAAAGTTTGGGCATTTTTTATATATAAAATGGTAGCTGTTGTCAGCTGTTATTCAGACAGGAACTGTAGCAGCTGAATTTATTTTTCATTAACAGTTAATACATTTTTAGTAGCACACGAGCAACTCAAAGGCATTTATATATATATATATATTTTTTTTACGACTTGCCTTTCATAATGATGGACATTTGGCTACCATGTGCTCTTTTGATAACTGGATCAAAACGCCACTCAAGTTTTTTTCCTTCTCTGTGGAAAGCCACAATTTATGTGCTTTATGTGCAAAGAAAGCATTAACGCTTGGGGTTTTTAATCACATCATCATTTACTTTGGCTGGGATTCAAAGCATCAGCTCTTTGAAAATTATTTCCCACCGTTCCACATCCTATGAGTTGTAGGAGCTTGTGTCTTCTGCTTACATGAATATTACTGTTCTCACTTGAGCATAAATGACTCGCATTACCACTCTTAAATTATTGTAAAGTGTAAACATCATTGCCTTAGACAAAGAAAATGCAAGAGTTGATGTTCTCCATCAAATTAATAGAATACTCTTCAGGCTTGATCAGCATTGCTGTTTTTAAGGTGGACAGTTTAAACAAAAAGCTCTGCATGAAATTTGTTCTCCTGTCACAGTGAATTAGTGCTGAATACAGAGCTTTTTGCTCCCACTTTTTTCAGATGGGGCTCCCTTTTTTGATCAGCAGTGTTTGTCATTGGACTGCATGTCCCTGTGAACTAATTTTCTTTGGAGACAGAGCAAGCAGTCTGGCTTCACGTGGCAGCAGGGGTGAGCTGCTCCGTCATGCCAGATCCCCTCCAGTTGGCCCATCTGTGGGCCAACTGGATAAGAGGGTTCACTGTTAAGCCCAACGATGGGATATTCAGAGACCCAATCCCAGACCCTAAAGTTAGATCTGCTTAAATAAATGTTTGAAGTAGATGAACAATTGATCACTTTGTTGCCTGTTCAACGTAAAGTTGACGGACTGTGTCCTCGTGTGTGTGTATCTGTTCTGATTTTAGTTAGCATGATTGGACATGAAGTGGTTGAAATTAAAAACAGGAGTAAAATGTTTATGGATGGTTGCACTCTAGTTCAAGAGTGAAACCCAAGTCAGGAATAATCTCCCCCTCAGATCTGGTTATCTGATTCCTATAAGAATAACACACCAAGTGACAGAGGATACTTTCCTCCTTCTTCACTTTCCAGTTCCAGTTCCTGCAGATGAATAAATATATTGAGATTGTTGGTGGCTATATTTATATTTAGCATCAGTGATTAAATGGCCAGCGTGGATCAAGATGAAATATGTGATCCCTGCTGAGAGGGCTGCGGGCCTAATGAAAAGCTGAAGAATTCCTAAATCTGTGGTGTGAACTGATTATTAAAGCTCTCATGACCACAGAGGCCATAACTCCTACTGCGTGGCGGGGCTTAACAGCAGGCTTTAATGTGAAATCCATCCATTAGCTGTGCCTGCTTGTCCTTCCTAATGTGAAATCTGTTCCTGATTGTTGAGAGGGGTGAACATTAAGTGACCATGTCCATGTCTGAGGCTGTGAGAGAGATTCAGGACACTCTGCTCAGCACAAAACAACTCATTTTGTCAACATATTATATGTTGATAACCATTATTGTATAAGGTGAACGAATTGTCCACTAATTAGTTTCCACCCAAAAAAATATGAGTGATTCCTCTAGAAAGACAAAACAAACAACCACTAGAAAAGTTTTTCATTTGTAATTAGATCTAGTTTAATCTTTTTTGAGAATTTGACGAGACGTAAATTTGTGAGGACTCAGAACATTTTCTGCTTCAGAGTTTTTCAAATGTTGCTTTTGAAAGTCTACATTGAGTGTACAATTTAAGTACAGTATGTCTCTTCCTTCCTCACTGTGTCTTCTTTGAGCTTCTAACTTTTTTCTTATCTGGATTTATCTTCTCTCCCCTACTTGTAGAGAGTTTTGAGGTGACCCTCACTAAAGAAGGTGATCGTGGGCTTTTTCTTCTGCCTTGTGCTTATTTGTTTATTTACTTATTTCACTAATAATCCACTAACGCAAAAGCAGCATCCACACTTTTACACAGAACCTCCTGCCATGCTCTGTAATTTCCCCATTTTGGTTTGTCCGAACCTTCTACTTTTTCTCACCTCAACTTTATTTTTAGAGTTCCAAAAGCTGGATGAAAAGTGTGATGTGGGGCTGACTGTTCTTAGAAATATCTGTGCATGAGACATCCATTGCAGTTTGCAGACCCTAACAGTTTTTCAGCCGTCACCAAAAGGAAAGAAATAAGAACGTAAGCTGCCTCAAAACAGGAGTTTGTTGTCACTTTGTTGACGTTTATTAAACAAAACTAAACATTGAAGCTATGGCAGCTTTTTGCAATATTCAACGATGACGTCAAATCTAAGGATTTCTTCACTTTTGAATCATCATGACGATTGCCGCTGAAATTTACCTCTAGAGTTTTAATTACAAGAGGAATTTTTAAGATACCAAGCATTCTCGTTACATTCCGACCTTTAAATTGATAGTTCAGATCTTTTAAAGTGGCATTTGTGGAAAGTTATGAAGAAATATGTACCATATTGTAGGCGTGTATAACAGTTTCAGTTTGGAGAAAAGTAGATTAGCTCTTACCGAGTTGACAAGCTAATGGCTTTTTGCATTATACTTGTTACCTATAAATCTATGGTTGTTTGCAAGTTCAAATAGAGGCAGCAGATGCTAGCTGTAGCACTTCTTGCAAGAATATTATTTCTACAAGAATGACCATATAATGCATAGATGACAGCAGCATTCACGTGGTCTATTTTAAAGTTCTTGATATTGGACTTCTTGTAATACGACAGCAGTTCAACTTTGGTCCTGGTCCCACATGGACTAGCCATTTGCTTATCAATCTGGGTGAAGCTAAACTATATTTCTTCGAGCTGAGGCCGTTCAAAGAGCTACTACAACATGGGATATATTAACTGTTCTTAGCTTTACCACAGAACCCAGCATCATCAAACCTAAACTGTCTGCAATAAAATCTTCTGAAATTAAGTGAAAACTTCCTCAGATGCAGATTAAAACTCAGACTGTTTACTGATTGTTTTAACTTGTCTCTGCAGCGAGTGACTCCTGTAAACATCTCTGAAGTTTAAGCGTTCAGATGAGATTGCTGAGATTGTTAACAAATGCAAACTCTCTCTTTCCCGCAAAGTTTCTGTTGTTGCATCTTTGCCTCGGTGGATCTCTTGAGTTAATTCTCTGCCTCTAATCTCCACCATTAGCATGGCTGCAGATGTCATTTGATGTGGATGTCAAGCAAGTTGATATTTCTAACCCCAGTTCTCATCCAGTGCCTTTTGTTCAAATACTGTTTTGTACTGGTTAAGTTCTTTATGATTTCAGAACTTTTAAAAAATCATTTTGAAGTAGTTTTGATTGCAGGCAGGCAGAATTACACAGGAAGACTTCCTTTAATTGAGCAAAACGATTAGTGGTCGTGTCTGCTAAAATTTGATTTCTTTCACTGATTTATTTTGTATTTTTAGATACGATAACTGAATTGGTGTAATAAGCTTTTCCCTATATTTTCTATTGTTGAGTTGGTTTTTTTTTTTTGTTAAAGTACTGTTTCCCAAATAAAACAGGTTTTAAGTTAGTGATTTTTATCTTAAATCTTTTGTTCTATGTACATATGTTTTCAAGCTTGGTTTCATGACTTTGGTTATATCCTGAGTACTCCTGTGAAATGCCTGTCCATGTTTTTATTTTATGTTTCAGTTTCTGCCTGCATGGCTGGATGCACTGGTTTCAAGTGGCTTGGAAAATACAGTGATACTAAATGTCCCACACCCTTTCCCAACTACTCACCCATATGAAAGTGTGTTTATAGCT